GTCATCTTGGGGCAAGGGAAAGAAGTCCCTAGTGGCCATCCCCTCAAACTGACAGGTTCTCCCCCTTACTTAGATCCCCTGGGCCAAGGCCCAAGGCTAAGATCTTGCTGGTGTCGCTTGCAGGTGGTCAGTAGCAGTTTTATCCATCTGCGAGTTCTCCCTGCTGGCCCTCTAAAGTTATTGTTAGATCCTCCAGGTTTCTCACCCCTCACCATCCCCCCCCTACTTCTGGATCCAGAGAGGGTGGAGGAAGTGGCAGTGAAGGGTAGAAAGGGGGGGTCAGTTTAAAGTGTAAGTACAAAAGAAGGAGCTAGAGAGAAACAGATATTAAAAGGGGGTGTTATCCACTCTCCTCTGGGCTCTTGCATCAGGATGAATCTGAGAGAAGAAACATTCCAAGAATTTCAGAATACATACACACCAGCATTGAGACAAAACACATTTACAGCATGCGCGTTGTAGACTGTCAGAAAGTGCTGGACTACAGACAGGCCTGAATGTTTGCACTAGTGGATAGTTTACCCTGATGGGGATCCGGGGGATGTCTCCCACCGGCCCAGTTGGCTGTCTTATAGCCTGTTCCCCAAGACTCTTGCCAACCCCAATACAGAACCTGCAGGCTACACAGATACCAGACAATTACAAAGCAGCAATGTTTTAACTTATAGGCCATTTGCATCATAGTATCCCTGAATCCTTTTTTTCATTTTTTTTTTGTTTTGCTAAGTTTCTAAACTAATGGTTCCTTCCTCCCGGAACCAGGGGTATACTTCCTCAACAAAGTGAAAGAAACATTTAACTGACTCTGTCTAACTTTCACCCCTTGCACGTGAAGCATACCCTTGAGAGCCTGCACATATAGGGTGCAGCTGTTACCTTGCCCCATAATTTCTTACTCCTGACTATACTCTCTCCCGCTTTCTATTTCTGGACGTCCTCTTACATTAGCGGGGTCCTCTGCCGTGATCCCAGGCTTTCAGGTCCCTGTTCGGGGCCACTTGCCAGAGCCTGCTGGCAATGAAAGGGAATCCTGAATTAGGGGGCAAGGATGTGGAAAAATAAAGACATAAGACAAAGGATGGGGTCGGGCGGTCTGCAGTTCAAAACTGCAGCACCATTTATTTTTAACTTTCCCTAATATATACTATTAGAAGTCAAGAGGTAACATAAAGTTACAGTAGTCCAGAAAAACAAGGAAAATTTCAGTAAAAATAGAGTGCAGTAAAAACAAGACAAGGTCAATTGATAAAAAGTAAAACAAACTCTACAGACATAACAAAGCAATCCCGGGCACCTGGTGTTTTTTAAGCAAGCCAGTTCCTTGTATGTACCTTCAAGTAAACACCGGGGTCAAGATGACCTTTAAACTTTACTGTCGGCTCCCAACAATAAGACAGGGAAACGTTGGAGAAATCAGCTATAGTTCTACCAGCAAGTGGACCCTGCTGATCCACAACCCTACTCATGCCCTGTGGTAGGAATAATTAACCCTCTCTACTTGCTCAGACCCAATCCAGTTGTGGAACTACTCATACTCAAGAAAAGGAGAGAATTAGAAACTTCCTTTGTGGTCCACAGGAAATACAGCGTGGGGGGAAAAATGAGCAGAACTGAGAAAGGAAGCAATGCTGAAAGAATTTCAGATCATTAGATGCAGGAAAGAGGGAAGGAGACCTGGTGGAAATGTCCAAATTCTCCTAGAGTCTGATGAAGGTTTGACTGAATAAGGTGTCTTAAAATTTCTAGGACTGATCAGAGGAGTCTCTAGCATGAATGACCCACTGTGAGGGAGTTGACAAGGCTGCGATGGAAGGTGACCCAATTACACATTTTGTAGCCTGAGGTGCACAGGTTTGTTTTTCACGGCATCCTGGAGATGTAGTGTTCAGCCTCAAGAATCATGAGTCACTGCCATCAGAAAATCATATAAAATCAATTCTCTTAAATCAATCATTTCTACAGAACATTCAACATCATTACACTGTATAGAGAACAAGTCTCCTTTTGACAAATGAGAGCTGTGTGGTAAAGTTGGAGTATTTGCCACACATCAGGCTCATTAGAGACACTTTTTCCATCTCTACAGTGGGCATAGGGTGCCATGTGCCTTTTCCTATCTTTCTGCAAGAATATCTTCACGACTTTGGGAGACCAGACATGTACTATCACATTGTTATTTCTGTTTTCTGCAGAAAGTATGTAGAAGTAAGAGGTGACTGGAGCAGTCGGTAGCAATGATATACCTAGGGCTGACTTCCCAGAGACCCCGCTGACCTACCTGACACAGGGTGGTAATGGCTTTAAGGACAACAGCTCTGAGACTCTAGTTGCTTTTTTCAGTTTTGCTTCTCAACTGTAACCTATCAACTAAGACTCTTTCACTGGTCTGTGAGAAAAGATATAAAACAGGTATTCTGTGTTCTCTCCGGGGGCTATAAAGTCATAAAAGACACCTACCTCATACATCACAATAGATCTTCCCACATCAGTAGACATGGAGACAACTAGATCTGATGTACCTTTCTAGGTACAAATGTGTGAGGAGGGGAGAGGAGAATGAAAGTTCAGGTTCCAAAAATAGAGAAAACATAAAGCTTTCAAACAATTGAATTTTTAAAAAGAAAAGAGACTCACTCGAGAATGGGGAAAAAATGGGGCTTGGGCAAAATACACATGAGCCTAAATTCATAGTATGTTTTCTTCTTTGGTTTGGTCTTTTAATTTTATGATTTGTTTTAGTGCCTCTGGGTTTTGAACTCAGCACCTAGTGCTTTCCAGACAGGTGATCTATCAAGCAATTTTTCATATTTTTTAAGAAATACTTTTATAAACAAAATCACAGAATAAAAACCCAAAATAAAAATGGAAAAGACAAGGAGAAATTTCCCTGAGATAGTAAATCTATAAGTCAAAGTTAAATATTGTGCATAATGTAAGGAGATGAAGCTCATGAACAGAATACAGTACACTTCTTGTGATGAACAGATGAGTGAAACCAAAGGCCATTATCTTTAGTGAGAAAAGCCAATGTCAGAATGCAAAGTGCTTCAAACATTGTAGAATCTAAATGAGGATGACAATAATAATGATGATAATGATAATAATATGGGATATGACTGCAAAAGGGAAGAAAATAGGAATCAGCAAGAGAAAGGATACGAAAAGGAAAGGATATTGAGGAGGTAAAGAAGATCAAGTAGGCAAAAGCTCAACATAATGACCCACCCAGTATGGAAATACAATGGAGTATGTAAATGTGTTCAAAGTGCACTATACACATCTGTAGATTTGTCACAATTAGTAATATACGCTCATTGCACAATGAGTGTACACTAATGTACACTAATTTTAAAAAATAATTGTTTCAATGGAAAAGCAGAATAGGAAAAGAGAAAGAGCAGAACGATCAAAAGTATGCTGGAAGCCACACCGAGAAGGCTCACACCTTTATTTCTAACTACACAGGAGGCTGATAGTGAGGATCATGGTTTGAAGCCAGCCTGGGCAGAAAAATTCTCAAGACTGAATCTTTAAAATAATCATCAAGAAGCTGAGTCCAAGGCATGGCAGATGGGGTAGAATACCAGCTAAGCAGCAGAAGGACTTGAGTTCAAACACATACTGAAAAATTAAACAAATGCAGTGGCAGAGTGATGGGAAAGAGGAAAGAAAGAAGGAATGGGGCAGTAATAAAACACAATCAACACAGGATTCTGTGTTGCCCAGACTTGTAGACCTAGCAGGTAGGATATTCCCATCTACCTGACATTTATGCAATGACAAAGTTCTCTCTGCTTCTTCCTGATATCTGGTCCTTTTGCAGTGGCAGGAAGCCATTCTGAAAGATTCCTATTTGAGTCTTCAGCTTTTAAACTCAAAGTTTCATTTGAGAAACTGTTCCATGTCTAGGAAACCTTGAGTTTAGGGGAATTGAGGTCAAGGAAGTAGACAAATTAGAGGAAGAGAGGGAACATGCAGGCCTAAAATTCATGGTCTCCATGTGAAAATGGAAGCAGGTAAATTGAGGGCATTGGTGGGGTTGGGAGAGAGAGGAAAAAATGATGAAAGGGATGGCATTGATCAAGATGCATTCTACTCATAAACTGATATATTGAATTGAAATTCCTCATAAACTGATATATTGAATTGAAATTCCTTTGTACAAATACTTAAAGACAATGAGTATAATAATAAAGATAATATACACTTGTATTACAAAAACAGTGAGAGAAGAAAAAAATTTGGAAATGAACTGGACAATTTGGAAGGGGCCTGGAGAGGAGGGAAAATGGGAGAAAAATGAGGGAGAGGTATCAAGTTAGACAAGAAGTGTACTCACTACCTTATGTAGGTAACTGCAACCCCTCTGAACATCACCTTGACAATGAAATTAAATTTAAAAAGACAAAAAAGACCAAAAGAATTTAAGTTCCTAGAGCTCTCTCTGAGATTCAGATTCTTTAAGTGAATGAGGAATTCAATTATATATTTTAATAAACACATGTATTACTAATTCATCTGAGCATATATTTATTTAAACTTTACTTATACTGAAATGTATTCATTTATCTGAAATAACTGTCCAAGAAAGGACATTTACCAAGCATGGAATACTAGCTTCAACAGCACAGAAACCAAAGTTGGAAGGTTAGACACTAGCATGGCTTCTGCATAAAGATGTGACCCCTACAAATTCATGACGTGCTCCATATTTTAAAGTCAGAGTTCAACAAAGTAAACAGCAGGTAATGGACACTTGAAAGGGGTCATGTGGGGTTGAGGAAATGGGAGTATATGAATACAATGAAGAAGCAGAGAGAGTACAGTCAAGAAATCAATGTGTATCCTCTAAAAAAGAAGAAAAGTGAAGGGAGAAGTTTGTTGGGAGGAAACAGTGAGAATGTTTAAAGAAAAGTGACATTTAACATGCATTTTATTCATAAGCTGTTCTGTTTAATGGCAATCCCCTTGTAAACTTACTTAAACATAATAACAAAACAGTGGAATAGTTTAGTCACTTTATTGAATGAAATATTTATGATTATCTGTTACACTAGGTTTAATTTTATCTAGCCGAAATTTAAGAATATTTCTCAGACTATCATCGATCAAACCATTGAAGATAGACAGAAATTGCTACCATCTCCAGCTTTCAGTTTGGAAAGATTCTATAACCTGTCAATTCCATCTTCTGTAACAGAGATGGAATTTTAAGAAGTTGATTTGAAAGGATTCCAGTTGATGATGGCATTCAAGTTGAAACAGAGTTACAATCCAGGCTCTAAGAATAGGTAGTTCAGGCAAAATTCAGCACCGACCGAAGTGATTCAATGCTAAATCTTCTTGGCTACTTCTATAAAGAAAGAGAGAAGGAACATTTTAAATTCTTTGTGATTATACCTAAGTCATCATAAAGTGGAGGTTTCAAGGAACAGAAGTGCAGAGATCTCTGTTCTTTTTCTCCAAATTACTAGATCTTTACTATTCTCTATTGCTGGAGATCATTTCCCACATCTGACTACTGGGTTTTCCAACCTGCACATCTCCCCAGCCCTGACTCAGTCTTGGGACCTGCCCAGTTCCCAGAGAGGAAAGGAATAGAGATGGAACTTAGTTCTAAAGACACAAGAACCAATTTGAGGAGGGGGGAGTGTAAATACACAACTAGTTTTATTAAAGGAAACATGAGAAAAATGCATAGGAAGGAAAGAAGGCTAAGTTTTTAGACTGCAGGCTCCAGAATACAGCGCTATGGAAGGAGGTCCAATGGAAGAGTCTCAGACTCTACACCTGAGGGAGTATCATTGCACTATCACCAAGCTTGGGAGACAAAGTACATCACCAGTGAGGTCCTTCCATAGTACTAGACTAAGTTGTGATGAATTTCAGAGTTCTCAGATTTCCTGATCAATTATAATTCCTGTCATTTGCCAGTGCATGTGGAGATTTGAGCTTCTAAATAGCTTTAGAATCTTACTATAGTCTGCCTCTCCTAAGTCACATTGAAGTAGACTATCTGCTACAGTTACATAAAAAGGCCAAGTAGCAAATGTCTTCTAAAAGTGACGATTTAAAGGGAAGGTAGAAATGAATACTTATACTTTTAGAGACACTACTTAGTCGGTCTAGGTTTTAGGCCTACATAATCTAGGTTTTTTATCCTTTCCTGCTGGTCTCTTATTAAATTGGAAGAGCAGTGCTTAATAATATGTTCTTACAATTTATGGCTGCAGAAAACACATTCATTGCTATAGGTTCTGCCGTCGGATGCACAGATTGGGTCATATTGCCTGGTGCACGCGTACAAATGGTTTTCATAGACAGAACAATCCAAACCCTAAACATAGAGAAGCAACACAGAATTTGTCAGATTATTTTATTATATTATTTTATTTTTGTGCCAGTATTGAGTTTTTGTTTGTTTGTTTGTTTGTTTTTTGTTGGGTCCGGTCGTGGGGCCTGAACTCTGGGCCTGGGCGCTGTCCCTCAGCTCTTCAGCTCAAGGCTAGCGCTCTACCACTTGAGCCACAGTGCTACTTCCAGCTTTTTTTCTTTTTGCTTATGTGGTGCTGAGGAATCGAACCCAGGGCCTCAGGCATGCAAGGCAAGCACTCTACCACTGAGCCACCTTCCCAGGCCCAGTACTGAGTTTTGAACTCTGAACTTTGAGCTCTTATTGGCTTTTATACTGCACCTCCACTTCTAGAAATTTGTTGGTTGATTGAGGTATGATTCTCTTGAGATATGCCTTTCAACCGGTACCCCCAGCTCTCAGCCTCTTAAGTAACTAGGACTACAGGTATGAGCTACCAACATCAGGTTTATCAGATGATTTTAAATAAAGTATTATATATGTGTGTGTGTGTGTGTGTGTGTATAAGGTATCACTCTTCATATATATATATATATATTGTACATAAAAGTAGAGCATTTTCAGTTATAAGGTTTAAAAAATAGTTGTACTCTACAAATAATTGTTTATTTCAGTCATACAAATGGATAAAGGTAATTAATTTTTTATTAGTGCCAGTATTGGGGCTTAAATTTAGGTCTTCACACTCTTACTTAATTTTCCACAAAAGGTGTTCTACTATTTAAGGCACTCCTCAATTTTTATTTGTTTTCTTCACAATTACAGATTCTCACAAACTTTCCTGCCTGGGCTGACCTCAAACTATGATTCTCAGATCTCAGTCTCCTCATTTGCATAAACAACCACCACTCAACAAGATGAGGGTCATTTTAGAAGTGATATATGGTACTTCCATTTCCCTTCATGCTAATATCAAATCTCCCCCATTATTTTATTATATAATGTATCAAAAGACTTCATTCTCTATGTCTTTCTCTCACTACTTATCTATTCCCATATACATGCTTTTGCATATACATGTAAAACCATATACAAATACAAATATAGACCTTAATTTGGTATTGGCACTATGAGTAATTTACTTAAAATGAGCAATAGTGTATATACTTTGCTAAATACACCATTAAACTTCTTTGTGAACTTTCTTCAGTTGCTGAGAAATACAGTTATCTCCACAGCTCTAATAGCTTAGTATATGAACATATGAGAATATCCCATAATACATTCTTAATAATTAAGTATTCTTATTCTGACTCCTCTTGTTTTGCTCCAATAATAATTCTATTTAGGCTGAGTGCTGGTGGCTCACGCCTTTAATCCTAGCTACTCAGGAGGCTGAGATCTGAGGATCGTGGTTCAAAACCAGCCTGGGCAGGAAAGTCCTTGAGATTCTTATCTCCAATTAACCACTAGAAAACTGGGAGGGATGCTGTGGCTCAAGTGGTAGAGCACTAGCTTTGAGCTGAAGAGCTCAGGGCCAGCGCCTAGGCCCAGAAGTCAAGCCCCATGACCACCACCAACAAAAATAATAACAATTCTATTTAACCAATCACATTCTAAAATGTTTTAGGTTTCTGCAATAGGTTATGCCCTCTAATGGAATTATTTTGATAATACAATATCTGAACTTAGATTAATTCCATTTTTTGATGTTTATAAAAGAATAATACAAAGGTGAGTTTTTGTTTTGTATTTTACTTTTCTCATGACCATTCTACTGTACATTTTATTTGGTGACATTTTCTATTAAAATTTACATTATAAGAAAGCTAGATGTTTACATTTTACAATATTCAAAATCCTCTATTAACTTACCATCTGATGAGGATGCGCTGCATGTGTAAAAGAAGTGTCTGTAGGAAGCACAAAAAATGAAAGGAAAAATGAGGAAAATAATATACCATATGTACACATATTTCTAAGTGGAAAGAGTCTATATTAATTATTTTGCATAATCATTAGCCTGGTATTTATAAGCATTACAAGCATGGTAGCTCTGTTTTTGTTAGGTTTTTCTTCTTATTTGTTGTTGTTGTTGTTTTTAGAGATGAAGTCTCTCAAATTTTTCTGACTTCAAACTATGATCTCAGTGTCCTGAGTAACTAGGGTTATAGGTGTGGGCTGCCAGCACCCAACCAGTTACTTAATTCTTAACTTAGAGAAACATCTTGAACTTTAAGAAAGAACTTGTCAGGGGAAGAAGAAACAATGAGTTCTCTCTTTAAGCAAGTTATTGACAGAGGGCACTCAGACATGGCAATCAGAGTGTAGAGGAATTCTAGAACTAGATGTTGTTACTTCTCATACCTTCCAATAACAATTGATTTGGAACTCTAAAATGCAAAAAAACCATTAGATTTCTTTATTCTATGATAAACAAAAATATATGATATACTACGTATTCCTTCTTAATGTACTTTTTGGAGTTAGGTCTCACTATGGTGGCCACACTGAATTCCCCATCATCTCAAGCAATCCTCCTGCCTCAGCCTTCTGAGTAGTTGGACCTGCAGGTGTGTGTCATCATACAGAGCCTCTTCGACCTATTCTAACTCACCTCTTTGTCTCCAGGTCTCTCCAATAAAAAGTGAGCAAAAGACAATTCACTGTTATAATGTTTAAGGGACATTTAAAACATGTCCTAATTCATTCTACCAAATTAATGTGTAAAACCCAAGTTTAAAAGACATCTGCCTCAGCTCAGTTGTCTCATGACTGTAATCCTAGCTACTCAGGAGTTTGAGATCTGAGTATAGTGATTCAAAGTCAGTCCAGTTAGGCAAGTCTGTGAGACTCTTCTATCCAATTTATTATAGAAAAGCTAGAAGTAGTTCTGTGGCTCAAGTGGTAGAGTACTAGCCTTGAGCAAAAGGAGTTCCAGGAGGTTGCTCAGGCAGTTAAAGCCCAGGACAGGCAAAGATAGATAGATAGATAGACAGACAGACAGACATCCCACTGGGTGTTCTGGATGCAGTCTGAAATCTTAGCTACTTGGAGGTGAAAATTAGGGGATTTGAAATTGAGTCAGGGCAATTAATGAAATATCAGTTTGGCCAATGGCTGGACATGGTGGTCTGCACCTGTGACTAAGGGAAGCACAAATAGGAAGATTAACATCCAGGCTGAACTGGGAATTTAAGCAAGACCCTGTCTTGAAAATAACAAATCCAAGATGGAGTGACTCTAGTACGCACATACATAACTGAGTTCAAACCCCCAGTTCCCTTCCCTAAAAAAGCTCACCCATTTTGGATTATGTTAGATGTTTCCTACATTCCTTCTCTCCCAGGCCTGGAAAATTCACTCACCAGAATGAAGAGGAAACATCAAGGCAATGATGCAAACAAATTTCATCCATGACAAGGAGACAGTCATTCTTATCAAGTCTATGGAAGAAAGTTTTAGTAATGCTTAGGCCATTTTTCTCCATGTAAATTGTTACAAGTTGAAGAACTGGCTACCCCATAAAAAAGAGATTTTTAGTTATGCTGGCCTCTTACCCCAATTTTCCAAATCAACAAATAAAACAACATATGTAGAAGTCATCCTGGATATTTGAGAGAAACCCCATAAAAAGTCCTCATTGTACATGTAAGCATACAAGTGGCCTAACCACTAGACAGTATTTGAGAAAACATTCACATTAGAGTCCCAGGTTTTCCTTAATAATAATAATAATAAAACATGTAGAAATCTTTTCTGGAAAGGAAGAATGTGAAGAAGTCTTTATACCAGTGTTATAGTCTAGAATTCCACTCTAGAGTTCCCATCTCACCTACCTGAATTGGAGAAGAGAGAAGAAAGAACAGCAGCTCTGGATAATAGTCGTTTGGCCTCCTCAGCTGCTTCCATCCAGCTGAGGAGCCTCTTTTATTAATCTTGGCAAGGAACTCAATGGGTATAAGATTGATTGCCCATCAGAGATAAGACAGAGTGGTTTAACGTGTTCCCAGCACAGGATTTCAAGTACCTCGGTACTTATCTCTTGGAACAATTTGATCTAAGGTATCTAGACGTATGGGGAAAAGGAAAGCAGGCAACCTGTACTTAGAGATTCTAAGATAGAAAAGAGATAGGAAAGCTTTCCAAACTACTGAGTTAGAAAGAGCAAAAGAATCATTGTTTTAAAAAATAAAACAATTTTAGAGAATTGTAATTTAATACAGGCTAGATCCTTAGTCATTAGTATCCTGCAACACCAGAAACAATAAAATTTAGTTGTAAGATTTGACTTATTATGCTTTTTATTTGGGGTAAATGTAGATTCACATAAAGCTTTTAGGTACATACATAGAATTCCTAAACATTTTCCCCAAATTTATGAACCAACAGCACCAATTTACTACTAGAAATATACATTAGCTAGAGATCTTTAACTAAAGTCCAATTTCACTCACTTTCACAGTGAGTTTTCCCTGGAAAATGGTATTCTTGAGAAGCATCTGGATCAGTCTTAGGGAACACACTAAGACTGGAAGAATCTCATCTAGAATGAAGGAGAGAGGATGAAAATGGTAGAAACAAGAGAAGAGGAAAACACAGGAGCGTAACTGTGACCACATTGGGCAATGCCACTCATTCTATGTTACATAGTTTTATCTGCTCCATGGAGTTTTGCAGGATTTGAAGTAGGGATTTATTCAAGTTACTTAAATTTCTCCACTCTGATGTCTGGAAAGAGCTTTGGTATCTGAAAACCTTAAGTTCAAAATCACATCTACCACTGAATATCCTGATACCACATTCAGACTTCTAACCCACAACTCCCGAATTCTGTGTATAAGAAATCAATTCCAACCGGGTGCTGGTGGCTCACACCTGTAATCCTAGCTACTCAGGAGGCTGAGATCTGAGGATCACGGTTCAAAGCCAGCCCGGGCAGGAGAGACCTTGAGACTCCTATCTCCAATAAACCACCAGAAAACCGGAAGTGGTGCTGTAGCTCAAGTGGTAGAGAGCTCGCCTTGAACTGAAGAGCTGAGGGACAGCACCCAGGCCCAGAGTTCAAGCCCCACGACCGACAAAAAAAAAAAAAAGAATCAATTCCATAGCATAGCTTTTAGTCATCATTACATAGAATGTTAGAAGGGTGTATATTTAAATTTTGTGTTATATTCCTTGATTTGCAGAATTGAAGTAGACTGCATCTATGTGCAGAAAGACAATATAAAGAATCCCATCCAAGTTTGTTTTCAAAAGGAAGGACAAAGAAGAAGGGAGGATACAAAACAAATCACAAAGTATATTATAAGTATATTAAAAGCAACAGCAACAAAGATAAAACCTCTTGTGTCCCTATCTTCAGACCCCTATCTTGGGGTTCATTTCACTTAGTATCATCTTATATGGTCATATGTGCATAGCTTTTGACCTTTTCTGCTTGTCCTAGAATTATACTAGTTATTGCAAATAAGGGAAACCATAATACCTATGTTTCTTTGTTAAGTGAGTATGTCTTTTTTTCCAAGATGTATTTATGGAACCCTTGCCAAACATCCCATGGCTATAGGTATGTGGGTTTATTTCTAAGTCTTCTCTGTTTCACTGCAATTGGGGCCATTTTTACTCCTGTACCAAGCTGTTTTTGTTTCTATAACTGTGTAGCAAAGTTTCAAGTCTGGAACTGTAATATCTCCAGCAGAAATGTGATATTGCTTTACAAATCCAAGATTACTTTTGTGATTGTAAGCCTTTTGCAATTTTAAACCAAGTTTTGGGTTGTTTTTCCTATCAGAGCCAAGATCATTGAGATTTTGATGGGTGTTGAATTTGTAATATGGCCATTTTCACAATATTAATTCCACTGATTTGGGAACATGGGAGGTCTTTTCACTTTTTGGTTCCCTCTTCACTTTCCTTCTTTAAAATCTTATAGTTTTCATTGTAGAGATCTTTCACTTATTGATTCAGGTGATTCCTAGGTACTATTTTTTGAGAAATGATTTTTCTCTCTATTTTGTCTTTCTTATTTTACTAACACAATGTCCTCCCCCACTATTATCTATGTTGCTACAAATAATAGAATTCCATTATTCTTCTGGCTGAATAATATTCCATTATTTTTTTGCCACACTTTCTTTATTCTTTCATCTGTCAACTGATATGTTTATTTTTTTAAGTAAGTTTTTTATTGTGAGAATACCGTACAGAGGGGTTCCAGTTATATGAGCGAGGTAATGAGCACATTTCTTATCAAGCATTGTTTTTTTT